TATATAATATGTATTTAATATATATTTAATTTTTAATAATAAAGCAAAAATGGGTGTAGGGCCGTTTAGCTGGCCGGTCCACTTTCGCTATTAAATTCTGTTTTTTTTTTAATTTTGAATATCCGTAAATAAATTAATATTTATTTTATCGATGGTAGAAGATAAGGATCCCGAGGCATTTTTTGAGTCTCTTATTCTTGTCTCATTCTACGAAAATTCATTAATGACATAACAACGTCACGTTGAAATAAATATACAAAGCAGTAGCACCTTCACGATAGCTGCTAGATGAACACCTCTCCATAATAGTATGATATTGTCCACCTTGAATATAAATTCTCATAGATTTGTTTTGGGCTTCTCAAAAGGCTTCAAACCAATAGAGAGAGGATTCCATGATCGTTCATAAATTCTCATGGTTTTGTTTTGGACTTCCCAAAAGGTCTCAGTCCAATGCAGAGAGTATTCCATCATCGTTCATAAATTCTCGTGGCTTTGTTTTGGGCTTCTCCAAAATGCCTCAAACCAATGGAGAGAGTATTCCATCATCGTTCATAAATTCTCGTGGCTTTGTTTTGGGCTTCGCCTCAAACCAATGGAGAGAGTATTCCATCATCGTTCATAAATTCTCGTGGCTTTGTTTTGGGCTTCCCCAAAAGGCCTCAAACCAATGGAGAGAGTATTCCATCATCGTTCATAAATTCTCGTTTTGGGCTTCCCCAAAAGGCCTCAAACCAATGGAGAGAGTATTCCATCATCGTTCATAAATTCTCGTGGCTTTGTTTTGGGCTTCTCCAAAATGCCTCAAACCAATGGAGAGAGTATTCCATCATCGTTCATAAATTCTCGTGGCTTTGTTTTGGGCTTCCCCAAAAGGCCTCAAACCAATGGAGAGAGTATTCCATCATCGTTCATAAATTCTCGTAGCTTTCTTTTGGGCTTCCCCAAAAAGTCTCAAACCAATGGAGAGAGTATTCCATGATCCTTCCCTAAATTAGGGGATGGGGGACTTCACCTCCCCTCGAACAAGGTACGTCTCTCTTTAATCGAGGCTCAACTCCTTTAAAGTCTTAGTCATTTTTTACTGCCTCTCGAACAAGGTACGTCTCTCTTTAATCCCTCTCGAACAAGGTACGTCTCTCTTTAATCGAGGCTCAACTCCTTTAAAGTCTTAGTCATTTTTTACTGCCTTCGAAGAGACTTGACTCCTTTTCGACTAAGTTTAGGGCATGGCTTTGATACCATGGTAGATGCACACGACTGGTATGATATTGTCAACTTTGAGCATAAGCTCTTATGGCTTTGCTTTGGACTTCCCCAAAAGGTCTCAAACCAATGGAGAGAGTATTCATTGATTATAAACTCATGATCATTCCCTAAATTAGCCGATGTGGGACTTTCATCATCCAACAATAGCAACGTCCCTCAACCTGTCTACGTAGCTACTAAAATTTTCTAAATTAGAGCCTCGAAATTAGGTCTTTTTGGTTTGATATCTAAGTTATAAGATTAACAATCAATGAATTTGGTATAATTGCTCAATGAGGACGAAAACCATCTCGGTATAGGTCTCCTAAGTCTCTTTTGGATTAATCAAATTACAGTCCCGTCATCTTTCTCTAAAGGCCATACACGAAAATATCTCTTTGAAAAACTGACCTTCGTGGGCCAATAAGGTGGCTGATGTGACTGTGTACATTACCCAGAAGCCCTAAATGTATATACTAATAAAGAGACGACTTGCTCTCTCTCCTTCACTCCACCTCTACATCTCTAGATCAATAAAAACACTAACCTGAAAGAGGAAGACATTTTTTAAGTTCGAATTCTTATAAAACACGTATTTTGTATTGATCATAATTAATAATTTAGTTATTTTTTTAATATTTATTAATCGCGGTAAATAAGAATTAAGATATTTTATTCTAATACAGAGAAATTAACTCAATAAATTATGGTATAAAAATATTTAAAAAAAAAATATATATATATAATAATAATTATCCAAATAATAAAGGACTGGCTTCCACCTGCCAACCCAATCACAATGAATTAAATAAAAGGCGAAAAAACAAAAAACCATGATGAATAAGTATACTTTTTTGGGTTAATGCAACATTATGATATAATTATTGAGCAATTAAGGTTTGGATAACAACTTGCTCTTTCACTAAAGCGTTACTTTTTCAGGCTAAAAGTGAACCCCAAAACTGTTACTCATATGGAACATCATCATTATTTGGGTAAGCATGCTTCTAAAGAGGAACCCAAAGTCAAACTTTTGTTAGAAACTCTTCGTAAAGCTATTTCCATTAGCTACAGATTCCTAGCTTTTTCATTAATTAATTAAAGCAATCAATAAAGATTTAATTTTTTTATTTTTACTTTTCACTTTAGCAATATAAAAAATAAAATTTGATAGATTTATTGATTATAATATGTTGTATTAATATTTGAATGGTCACTTTTTCTTTATTTAAATATTGTCTTCTCGATATTTGTGCAAAACCATAATATTGAACCGAGGTTATATACTGTGAGCCGTTGTTATTGTGAGATCCATATGGGTCAACTTCTTCCTACCCAAGATTATATACTGTGAGCCGTTGTTACTCTCTTGCTTGCTTATATAACGTCTCTTTCAAAAATTTCTTTCTGCCCTCGTTTTCTAAAACCTTCTCTTAAACCGAGGCTAGAGACTCGAACATACGTCGCTTGGCTCTAGGTGACGTAAGAACGAATTGGCTTAGCTCACTTGTCGTTGGAAAGTGAGTGCCGCACAATTGCAAGTCTGTTGCCATCATGAGTGCGATTGTGACAAAAGGGTGTGAAAACCTCTCTCTACCAAACCAATTTTAAAAAACTTGAAAGGAAGTCCAAAGAGGACGATATTTGCCAGCGGTGGGCTTGGACTCTTATAAATGGTGACAGAGCCAGCTAGAAGCCTGAGCTTGAAGGGAGTGGACACGAGGCGGTGTATCAGTAATGCCGCTAGGCTCTAAAGGGGGTGGGTTGGAGGGGGGGGGGGGGGGG